AAACGTAAACGTAACGTAAGTAAGTTAATAAACGTAACTAACGTAAGTAAGTAGTAGTAGTATATATATATATATATATATATATATATATATAGTGTGTTATATATATATATATACTACTACACACACACACACACACACACACACACACACACATATATATATATATATATATATATATATATATATACCCATACATACATACATACATACATACATACATACATATATACATACATATACAGAGATATATAGATATATCTTGTGCATATGGACGGCCAGAAAACAATTTGGCGATGTTTATATTCTTTTCATTGTAATCTCGATTAGGATAAAACATTCGACAGGAAGTGTAAATGGTCACTCATGGTCTGTATTGGAGTGTAGGTGCATGTCTTACCTTGGCCTTGTAAGTTGAGTGTTGGATGGATGGAGTGTCTTGTAAGTTGAGTGGTGTATGGATGGAGTGTAGGTGTATGTCTTACCTTGGCCTTGTAAGTTGAGTGTTGCATGGATGGAGTGTCTTGTAAGTTGAGTGTTGCATGGATGGAGTGTAGGTGTATGTCTTACCTTGGCCTTCTAAGTTGAGTGTTGCATGGATGGAGTTTCTTGTAAGTTGAGTGGTGTATGGATGGAGTGTAGGTGTATGTCTTACCTTGGCCTTATAAGTTGTGTGTTGCATGATTGGTGTGTAGGTGTATGTCTTACCTTGGCCTTATAGGTTGAGTGCTGCATGGATGGACTGTAGGTGTATGTCTTACCTTGTCCTTGTAAGTTGAGTGTTGCATGGATGCCTAATCCCGCAGTGTTGGGCAATGGATAGACCAAGTGACGGAAGGGGTGTGGTCCATGCAGTGCGTAGTAGTGTCCCTGAGTGTCCGATGAAGATACGTGAGGCTGGGTTTTAGGGTTTTCACTAATACGACGAGACTCAGATATACATAGGATACGTAGATGTGGTACGCTATCAGCCGCTGGGCTGGGCTTGTATAATATATATAGCAGACAATAACTAACGCGTTCATTTAGCAATCAATCTCAAGTCCGAAGTGCTGTCAGGCGGGGCCCTTCTGTTGCATATGAGCTCTAGATATAACAGGTAGGGTTAGCTACGACTGTTTTGTACAGATACAACTGGTAGGGCTTGTTTTGAATCGATATAACAGGTAACATTCGCTACGACTGATTTGTACATATACAACTGGTAGGGCTTGTTTTGTATAGATATAACAGATAACATTCGCTACGAATGTTTTGTACATATATAACTGGTAGGGTTAGCTAAGACTGTTTTGTACAGATACAACTGGCAGGGCTTGTTTTGTATCGATAACAGGTAACATTCGCTACGACTGTTTTGTACATATACAACTGGTAGGGTTAGCTACGACTGATTTGTACATATACAACTGGTAGGGCTTGTTTTGTATAGATATAACAGGTAACATTCGCTACGACTGTTTTGTACATATATAACTGGTAGGGCTAGCTACGACTGTTTTGTACATATACAACTGGTAAGGTTAGCTACGACTCTTTTGTACAGATACAACTGGCAGGGCTTGTTTTGTATAGATAGAACAGGTAACATTCGCTCTTACTGCTTTGTACAGATCTAACTGGTAGGGCTTGTTTTGTACAGATATAAAAGGTAGGGTTAGCTACGACTGTTTTGTACAGATACAACTGATCGGGCTTGTTTTATACAGATATAACAGGTAGGGTTCGCTATGACTGAAGGTTAGCATGAGGCTGATATGCGCCAGTCTCGGGGATGCACCTACGCACTCTGTCAGCCATCCCACACTCTGTGCACCTACACACTCTGACCCTAAAAACCCTAAGACATCTCTATTGACACAAGACACACAGCTCACCAGTGCCCACACAACAGTGCAATGGCACACGCAGCGGTGTCTCCCACTGTTATCAGTGGCAGACAATGGTGAACGCGTATCATGTTATGGGGGTACTCGAACGCACACGCAGGATCATCTGAAACTGACTTTCAGGACTGATTTTGTCCTGGGGAAAGTCCATTTTCTCAGCCCGGGACAGTTCTAGAGGGCCTTGGGCCAGGTGCATGGGACTTAGCATATGCCGTTGACATACACAATCAGCATTCTCATTGCCTAGCACCACAGCACCAGATCGTAAACCTTAAAACCCTAAACATCCTAAAACATGTGGACAGTACATGAGAACACCAGATGCCGTTGCAGACGGAGTGTGTAG